AGAGGCCATGCAGTATTAACGAATCACAGGCTGCATTCGGGGGGAACATGGCGCAGCAGCGCAATCCAGGTTGGCGGGTTGGCCTCTCTGAAGCATCGGGGCCCCGGCTGATGTTGCCGGAGTCGCCAGCATCATACAATACTCCAGGAGAATGCAAGGTTTACAAGGGGTGGCGATCAGTGAGGAATTCAAGCGTGCACGTGTGTGTGTGTGTGTGTGCCTTAAATATTCCGTTCCCGGGATGTTACGATCATGCCTCGACTCTTGATCCTGTGGACATCACGCAGCTTTGTTCTCGCAAAACATGTCAGGCACAAGATCGAGGGCTACAACGATGAGGACTTCTGTTGGCAGTCAGGCTTTGGTACAAATCCGATCGGTGTTCTCCTCTTGTGCCGGTGATATTCACCTGGTGAAACCTTCACAGGGTGCGAAGCTGGGCAGTCGTGGCTGCCCAGGAGACGGCTCCAGGAAGCTTTAGGAGTGACTCCCAGGAATCTTTGAGAACCCTCGCCAAGGTGGTGCTTGGCTTTCCTCACGGCTCTGGCAACAGCGAGGGGTTCAAGCCAAACACAGAAACTGTGATGAGCTCCGAAGGTGAACGAAGGTCTGATCTCTTTTGATTTGCATGCCTTGAACCTGGGATTGACTTCTTGTGCGGCCCTAGTGACCATGCCTTGAGCAGACTTCAGAAGACATCGCAGAGGCAGCCTTCAAAGGCTTACTTGGCCAACAACTCCTTCGGTACCTGGCGCTCTCAAATAGGCCCAGACATTTGGAGGACCAGAGCTGTCGAAAGGGTCGTTCTCATGCTGTAAGATTTTGGGGACGCGCTGAGTGCGAGCATCCTTGGTCTCAGCTGACACAGAGCCCACCGTCTACGAACTGCGATTGCGAGACATGACAGTAGCAATTGGCGTCTACCAGAGACGCCTGCAGCACCGCTTCGAGCCGATACAGGCACCCTGACCCTCCATGTTCCTCGGTGGCGCTCCTGCCCAGGGGCTAGCGGCGACTGCGCCGGTGGCCTCGAGCTGCCCTCCACAGCCATGATGTTCAGGTGTTGGGAGATCGGTGGCTCCAGCTCTGACAGGTCGTGGGGCCCAGCCGGGCAGATTCTGCACCAGGAGGCACCAGGTTCAGTTTTCTAGGGACCGCGGCACGCACCGAAGCACGTGCGAAGCGATCCGAGGTGCGTCAGCTATTCGTCCACGACGGGGCGAGGGCGCTGGAGCTTGAGCGGAGGCGAAGCATGCCGCTTGGCACAAGCTGTGATGAGCGACTTTCGTACTGAGCTCCGTTGATGCAGCGGGGCTTGGAGGGGATCAATGCTGCAGGTGAAAGCCCTCGCGAAGTGCCGTCCCGCCACCCTGCACCTCCGCGGCTTCCCAAACGCATCGACCGACGCCTGGGAGAATTTGTGCGCAGCCCTGCACTGCGACCGAGTTAGCCTCTCAGAGCGCCTCGGCTTTTCTGTTTTGGAGAAAGCACCGGCCCTATCATCCCTGTGCTCTCGCTCCGGGCGCCGCTGAATCCCTCTCAAAACCCGCTCTGACGAGGGATTCTGCTGGCCGGGCTGGCACAGTCCAAGCAGCTGAAGGACCCGAAAGCCCGAGAAACTTTGAGAGCTCCGAGCTTCGAAGTGCATAAATCCCATGAGAATTCTTTCTTTGCCCAATGCAGAAAAAGACGGGAGCAGTCTTCGGAGCGTGCATGACCACGCAGGGCCTCAGAAACCTGCGCTCTAGGTCACAACCGATGGACCCGCTCGACGTCTCCCAGATCTTCTCTGACTCCTCCCACTGCTTTCCAGCGAAGCGAGTATATTTGGATGCCATGGCTGGCCACATAACCCTCACAGGCCGGGATTGCTGCCTTGTGCGGGTTGGGGCGTGCAGGCTTTGCAGGCCGCAACCTAGCCTGCCCGCGTGAGCTCTGGGTAACCGGTAGAAGCTTGCGGAACAGCTTTCTGGACTTGTTGCGCATCGAGCTCGGCTGGTGGAGCTGCCAGGCGTAGGCAGCCCGGAGGACGGTCGGCTGGCTTCAAAAACACTACTGTGCGAGGAAGGGATGCGCCCTGTGCACCCTGCAGGCTTTGCAACACGGCCTGCCGAGGCTACCGACAGTCGCACGAGCTTCACAGCTCCGCGCTAAGCCCGGGCGCAACCGGTGGGTGCCCGAAACGCTGGAAGATCTGGAGGAGGACGGGGCGGCCACATGCGGCCACCCGCTGGGATGCACCCTTCTCGAGGATTGGGAGCTAATGGGGTGGCTTCGTGCGCTGCGTCGGCGCGAAATCCCGGTTCCAGGAACGGCAGTGGACTCGCCTACACCAGCTGTGCCGATTTGCTTATCCTGACTTTTCTTCGTGTCAGATTCTGCGATAAACGTGGGGGCTTCTCTTGAAGTGGTCGCGCTCTTTGCGCTGCCTCATATAATCTTCGACTCCGCCTCCTGCCCGCTTTTTGCTCTCAGCTTGCGGTGGCTACGCGTGCTGCCTGCACCCCGCGCCGCAAGCTCGTCTCGCTTGGTCGGTGGGCAACTTGCTTTTGGCTGGCGCATGTCAGGGCGTGCGTCGGTCAGTGAACTTGCCTTTGCTGCTTCAAAGTGGTTGAGGGCGCAGTCCTGGATTTGCTTTCGTGTTGCAGGGACGGCGCGCCGTGATTCCACAAAGATGTCCCTCAGTTGTGCCCGTGCCGTGCCATCCCAGGCTTTTGTCAGAGCCCACTTGCTGGTGGCGAGAGTTGCTCCTGTGATGCTTCAGCTGCCACGACGCTCCGACTCCGGTGTCTGCAATCACTGCAATCGGCCCTCACCAGCAATTCGACGGAATGCTTCATTTTGCTGTTTGCCTGGGTCGCGATTGGAACGTGAGCTGGGGACTCGGCGAGCACGTGCAGGGAATCTGTGCATGCTGCTGGGTGCGGCAGATCCTTGCAGATCATCCGACCACGGCGCTTTCTGCTTCCTGATGGCTCATGTGCACAACCTTCATCAGCAAGGTGACGGCTGCTTGCTCACCTGGCAAAGTCAGGGCAACCGGTCGCGCTCTGCCATCGTGGCAGGCTCTCTTTTCCATGCTTTCGCTCCCACAACCGCCGGCTGCACTGGGCAAAGCTCCGAGGCCACGGCGCCGTCGCCCTGTAGCCAGTGACTTCTGGCCAGCCAAGCCGCCTGTGCCCTGCAAGTGCTGCTGCCCTTTCTGGATTGGAGCGCTCGGCATGCTGTGCATCTGGGAAGCTAAGTTCTCGCAGCATGCAGCTTAATATCGACCAGAAGCCCTTTTCCAAGAGCGTAAGACCTTGCAGCGCAGTGCTGCCGGATTTTGCCCCCGGCTAGGCCCTAAACTCCCCAACAGTTCGGGGGACCCTCGCGTTGCCCCTTTGCCCCTGTAAGCTGGGTTTCGCAGCGGGTAAGCTGCACGAAAGTTTGTTAGGCGATTCGGTATTGGAGGCTGCACACATGCAAACTCCAGTCTGTCCCACCGCACCCACAGCAACAGCTTCCTGAAGCTTCACCTTGGTGGCTGTGTCGGCGTCAGCAGCTGGGTGTGGCAAAACCCCCATTCGGGGGCTGAGAACTGGGGTTCGCCGGTTCGCCAGAGCCAGTAGTTGAGCCTCCTCGAGCGCTGCGGACTCGTTTGCTGCCGACAGAGGACGTGCCCTCGTTCGACACCGCGCCTTGGAAGCAAATTGACCTGGCCACGGTCATAGCAGTTGCTCGTGCAGCAGCACGCTGCCCACCCCGAGCTATCATATATTGCCTCTTCTTTCTCTTAGCTGCATCCGCCGATCGGCTGTAGCCGCCTTCAACTAATTGCATCATGCATAGGCTGCATAGGCATAGGTGTGGGACTAAACAATGCACGCTGCAGTTCAAGGCTCTGCTTGCAGATGCTGCCTGATCCACGAAGCTCTTGGACTCTTGCATGTCAAGGATGGGGGGTGAATCCGGGGGCTACTACCGTGGCGGCTTTTTTTGGCTTTTCTCAGGTCGGAGCGTGCCGAGTAGTGCCAGCTGCCTCTGACTTCAGGGCCTCAACGCCTCGCCGCCCTGCGCTTCGCTTGAGGCTTTGCCGTGGCACAGCCAACGCCTCAGACTTTTTGGTGGCTGGGTTTCGGGGGAGGGAGCCTCCCGACTGCGTGGAGACCACCAGGTCCATGACTTTGTTTTTCAAACGGGGAGGTGGGTCCACAACTGACTGTATGCTCTGAGGTGCAGTTGTACATCAAAGCAGCTGGGTGAGCGTGCATCGTGCTCGCCAAAGCCAGCGACTTACCGCAGCTCGGCAGAAGACTGCCACCGAGGTGTGCTAGGCTGGAGTGCTGTCCCATGCAGGCTGTCTGATGTCTGGCTTTGGAACTTCTCGTCATGTTCTTGTTAGAGAGGCTGTTACGGTCGCATTCCAGGCATGCAACAAGGGCGAATGCGGCCGAGAGCGGTCGGCTGTCGCTAACGATTCTCCAGGTGTGTCCTTTGTCACGGTGGGAGGCCCGGCATCTACATCGCATGCCATCTCACAGTTGTGATCAACATGCGGTTTTGAGTTGAGCCCTCGGCCCTAACAGCACTCGCAACCAGTCCCCTGCACCTTCCAGCTTCTGGCGATGCTGCCCGGGAATGCGTTCGGGGCCCTGTTGTCTCCATGAAGCTCTGCGCTCTCGCGCCAGGGCCGCTGATGGCAGCTTCGCTGCACAACCCCACTAAACAGACGTAAACGATCGGTGGAAAACCAACACAACCTTTGGCATCAGAGCCTCCGTCCTGGGGCTACATGAGGCCCTACATGGCCCCATATATAGTCCTCGCAAACCACCCGAGGCCCGTAGAAGCAAGCTGCAGTCCACAGCGGCATGACCAGCAAAGACCTTGGCTCGCGAAACAAGAACCCGGCGCACCGGCGCCATATGTAATGAACGTAAGGACTGGCACAAGGGGTGTTCCGGGATCTCGCAAGCACTATGAGTGAACTTCGTTCAGGCACGCCCCCACTCGGCGACATGTCGACTCCTTTTTGGATAATGGGCAGCAGTGTTTCCTTTTTGCAGTTCGATGGCGAACTGTTCGCTCTTCGTGTGCTCCACCGGTCCGACGGGACCCTGTGGAAGGTCTTGCGGGCTATGATGTCTTTGTCGCTGTGCCTCCTGCAACAGCTGCCGATGGAGATGGCGGACTCCCGTGTCTGGTCCGTGGAGAGCGGTGAGCTGGTCCACGAGATCAAGAAGGCCCGGCAAATCGATCGGAGTCCTGGTGCTGGCGAAGGTGGAGAACGAATGATTTCGGAGGAGAACGTGTTGGCCCTCGCCAGACTTGGTGACTTGTACCAGGTGGGTTTCCTCACGGAAACGTGCCTGAGAGCATGCCTGCAGACATGACATGACATCAAGCGGCCACTAAGGAAGCTTTTGTGCGGAGGTGAACCGCGGACGACGCCTTTCTCCGCGGAGACTCAGCTTCTCCTGGCCGAACTGCTGATTTAGCGACTTTCAAGCAAACTTTCAAGCAAGCCATGCTCACATGCTTGCTTCGCTCGCGTGGGCCATGCCTTTCACCATTTCGCGACGTGACGCTTCGCCTAGTGAGTTCGCTGCGGTGCGCACGTCGCGTTGCGGGGTCGATCTGAGGAGGCGTTGGGCCCTAAACTCTGAACCTCTCAACCCTAAACTCTAAAACCCTAAAGCCCTAAATCGTGAAGCTCCGCAGTCCCCTTACGCCTGCGGGGGGCTGGCGGGTGGACGGATCCCTTTGGTGCAGCCTGCTTGAGGCTTTTGCGTGGAGGTGTCTGGCTCGTGCGCGGCAGGCAGCTGGGCTGTGCTGGGCTGTGCTGGCGCGGGGCGCTCCTCCCGTGCCTGTTTTTGGGCTGGGGTTCGTGGCCTTGGCGATGACGTTAGTGAAGCTGTGTCGACGAACTGATGCAAACACTTAAGGCGCGGCGGCATCCATCGTGTCTGTTATAATCGGTCCGTGAGGCGCTTCTGCAATGGGTCGGAACGCCTGGGACGATACAGGTCCTGAGCTGCACCCCCAATCTGACTGCGCGGCCTCTTCTTCAGCTGGCTCTGTGTCCCTGGCTGGGAGCTTGGGCTTCCACTTGCTCGCAGGTCTGCCTTCCAGACGCTGCGGCTGCACCCTCAGACTCCGGTGCGCCCTCTGTCTCCAATCCAGCTGCTTCCGAAACGGCTCCAAGCAACTCGGGGGTGGAACTCGACGATCTCTGCCCACACCCAATGGGAAAGAGTCGGATGAGCTTGGGAGGCTGTGGAATGTCCTATCAGGTCCTAGTCGCAGCTGTTGCCACTGGCCATTCCCTCACTTGAACCCCGTGCAAGGAAGGATGAAAAGGCTACGCTTTTCCTCTTGCTCTGACGAGATGCTTGTACAGCGCGCATCTTGTGACCCTTATAATTCAATTGACAAAGCCCAGCAAGGCACTTTAAGCCCAAAGCAAGCATCCAGAAGTCCAGAAGAAACGAATTGTTTGAGAAGTTTCCGACATGTTGTGTTGTTGTCTGCGTGACAAAGCTTCTTGTGGCCATGTATATAAGCGAGGCCGGCAGAAGAGAGCAGAAAGCCACACGTTCTGAGTATGGATTCTTGCACACAGCCCGGACGCCAATCCCGCAACCGTGCACCCCAAAGCACAGTCTCTCTGTCCAGGCATCTTGCGGCTTCCCGAGCCGCCAAGAAACAGAAGCCCACAGGAAGCTAGCCTGCATGACTTAGAGCGCCTGCTGCAGCTGCGATCGCTTCGGTCGCAAAGCAGTAGCTCTTGAGACCAGGTGATGTTGTCATTTCTCCTCCTATCTTCGGAGCTGCCCACGAAACCGCTCGGGCAAGGCAAGATCAATGCCAGATGCCTTTCGTGCAGAGTGTCAGGCACCGCAAGGGCCGCAAGGGGTCGGCAGACCTTTTCGCTCATGAGCGAGGGAGACATGTATTGGATTGACATGATGCTGTGCGGCGATGGCCGGCTCTGCGGCGACCGCTCGAGTACTGCGGCTCCGAGGCGGGGTCCGCTGTGTAGAGCCTTTGAAGCCAATATCTCCAAACATCGCAGGCAGCGCTCCCGACACAGCCGGCCCAGAGCCTCGGGAGCGTTTGCGGGAGCGTCCGCAGGAGCGTTTGCGCGGTTTTGGGGCAGAGCTTTCCTCGCACGGGAAGTCGTTTCGTGTGTCCCTTTGTGCAAACCGAGCTCAAGAGGCGGAGCCAGGAGATGGTAAAAGCTCAAAAGCTCGAGGAATTATGCGCCTCCAGGCGGAGGGCTCAGAGCTGCGCAATTGCCTGACTGTTGCAGAGGCGCAGGGGTCCAGCAAGGAGTGCCGAGAGCCAATTGGTACACGGAGCTCCAAGTGAGTGTGGGAAGTGCACAAGCTGCAGGCGTGGCGGGGGAGCTCGGTCAGTTGCAGGATCAGTGCAAATGCCGGGAGCATTGCCTTGAGCTTGCTGCCGGCACTCCTGGGGCAGAGTTGGCAAGCGAGGCCAAGCTGCAGGAGCCAAGCTGCAGGAGGTGTGAGCACGCCTCCAGGAGCGTTGTGAGCAGCTGCGGCAGCAGCTCCAGAAACCTCGGCCAAAGCGGAGGCTCAGGCCGCTACGATTCGGACCTTGCCGGTGCCGAGGAGCTGGGATACGGCCTGGTAGAGAAGCAGCACTGCTTCACGTCCATGTCCGATGCCATCTTGAAGACACACAACTGTGACACGGACTTCTTCCTGGTCCTGATGGGCAAGAACCTGACGAAAGGTTCACACATATTGCCAGCGATGGCAAGACCCTTCTGCGGCTCCCTGGCGTTTCTCCGAGCCGGGGCCGTGAGGACCAGCAGCTGAGCAGGAGAGCGAGGTGACTTGCAAGGAACCTGAGTGGCGGCGCCGAGCCCGGAGGCCAAAAGCGGCAGAAGCTCGGAGAGCAGCGCAATCGCCGTGTCCAGCAAGGATGCGGTCATGCTGCTGGAATCCTAGATGTCAAGCCAACCTGCCGAGACAGTCAACTTCTTGGTCGATCGCAGGTGTCTTGCTTCCGATGGCGCATCACGCGTTGATGCAGCCCGATGGGTGCTTCCCTTTCCTGCTTGCCTGGCTGCTGCGCGCCTAGCAAACCTTACGGAAAAAACAGCGCATATTCTACTCGAGAAAGATGGTCCCGTACATGTTCTTGGCAGAGACGCTCTCCTGGTGGACTCCGTCTTCGAGCTCGTCTGCTCTGCTCTTCGTCCAGCTCTCCGCTGCGCTCTGCCCTGCCGTCGGGGTTTGGGGGGGGGAGACTTCAAGTGTACGGAGTCTTTCAAGAAGCGGGACAAGTCTGCACGTCTCACGCTGAAACTCGGAGTGCTGCCGTGTGTGCTAGTCTATACGAGCCGACGTTCATCGTCCGCCATACGCGCCGGCGTGTGCTAGTCTTGGGAATGCCGATGTCGCAGTTGTCGGCTGCAACTCCGCCCGCTTTTGTGCATTCTGATGCCTCGTGCAGAGTTTATTCTGAGATCAAGCATGAAGTGAAGCGTTTGCTTCTGTCCCTAATTTCTACTTCCCAGAACCGGCGGAGCAACCGCTGCAGGGGGAGCTCAACATTGGCGAAGCTCGCCAAGCCGTGTTCCTGGATTGTTCTTGTCTGGAAAATCTGGTGATTCATTTTGGGTGTGTGCAGATGGATTTGTGGCATCTTGGGATGCGCTTGAGACTGAGAAGCGGCGGCTGAAGCTCGTCACGGAAGGCAGCAGCTGCCAGGCCGACGCACTGAGTGGTCTCAGCTGTCGCGGTGTCCTCGCCTGTGAACCAGCGCCCACCGTCTACGAACTGCCATTGCGAGAGACGGAAGTGACACTAACAAACATTGACATCTACTAGAGACGCCTGCAGCACCGCTTCGAGCTGGATCGATGCAGGCACCCTGACCCTCCATGTTCCTCGTTGGCGCTCCTCAAAGCCTAGCGGCTAGCAGACGGACTGGAACGCGCCGGTGGCCTCGAGGAGGGCACGACATTGGACACTACTGTCCACAGCCATGATGTCTGTGCTGGGATTCAGGTATTGTCCGGAGCTCTCTAAAGCCGCGGCCTGTCGTGATGCTCACACGTTCTTCTGCATGCCAATGCGGCCGATATCTTCCGTCGACATCGGTGGAGATTCCTGGCCGGCTGCACTGGATGTCTCTTGCTTTGCAAGGCCTGGAGAAAGAGGAGAACGTGGACGTCTCCACGCTCCCGGAGGCCCGTACCAGTCCTCTGAGCGCATGCAGCAGCTGCAGCTTTCTACCGCTCCTGGCAGGTCGTGGGGCTACCGATCATGCAGGAAAGTGGGGATATGCACAAAGCTGGGCATGCACCTTCGGCGCCGTGAGAAGCCTGACCGAGCAGCCCAGAATGTTCTGAATGGTTGATCTTGTCTCGCTGACATTGGTGCCCTCCTTAGCCTTCGTCTTGCCCGCTTTGTAGAGAGGCAAGTGAGATCTGGTGTATGTGTTCTGGAGAGATTGGAGATTAGATGCGTCAGATGTTGATACCACACCCACACGTGCTCCGAACAATTTGCAGTGAGAAGTTTCGGTGTAGAATTGCTAAAGGCCCTGTTGTATCTGGATATTGCGCTCGACCTGAGGCAGCTCTTGCTGTTTTGGCAGAACGGCCTCTTCCGATACTTCACCATCAAACCCGTAGGAAGGGCGCTGCCACCAATCTCACCAACGTGGGAGGCAGTGCGTTTCAGCGCTCGGCCTTCGCCAGAACAGCAGCAGAAGAAGCGACACCCAAATTGGTGGTGCCAGTAATGCCCCTGTCATCCTCACCACTGGTGCGGAAATGCGCGGCACATGCTGTGCAGCGGAGCAGCGCGAAATCCACAGTCTGTCTGTTCTTGGTCCTTGCCGGACCTAGACCGCCTCAAGAGGACTGCATCTTCACGGCTTCCGTATTGCGGTCCGCCGCCTGTGCAAAACTTGCACTTCCTGGTGGGGTTGTGGACTTGAATATGCCATGAGATTGAACCTAAGCAGTCGCACAGTCCGTATACAGGAAGGACGTGCGAGCTGCTTTCCTTGGGCTGTCCTGATGATTGGAAACCTTAATCCGTAACGTGCACGTTCACAGACACGCAGAACAGCAAATTCTGCCTACTACTGCACCAATGCTGTGTTATGTTTTGTTTTGCGATATGTCTGGGTAGGCCGCCACGCAGAGCAGCAACTCTGCCAACTCTGCCCACTACCAATGCAGTGTCATGTTTTGTTTTGTGTTTTGAGACATGCATATAACTATCTATGACTACGAACACAGGTATCGCGACAACAAGCCAGCAAGAATATTTATAGGTAGTTTGCATGGCCCCAGGCATGCATGCTTGCATACGTATGCACCTGGAGCCTGGAATTCGTGCGTTGCCCTATGCTCCACAGAGGCTGTGGGATCGGAGTCTGCCGCCTGGTGACGTTGTTCCTGCGGCTGAGCTCAAGTAGTGCCTCAAGAAGGTGCAGTAGATGAAACCCACGAACCCACAGTGCGACAGAGCAGTCTTGTCTCCTTTTGCCTTTTTCAATCTGCCTTCGTGAGGCTAATCATTCACTTACATCAGTTCCTTTCCTAACCCGCACAGCGCCTTACGTGTCCTGCTCTTCTCATGCGCGATTCGGGATGTGCTGCACCCATTGCGGCAATCCACCATGAAGACGCACTCAGGCGTTCCGCAGCTCTTATTGCGAAAGACTCAGCCTTCGGCCAGGGACTGCAGCCTGTCTGACAGCTTGGGGTGATGTGTACATGCCACTGAAGAAGTGACTTTGAGGAACGATGCGGATTTCGCTGGCTCGCCGCGTCTGGTGGCGGGCTTTCTTGCCGAGGCGAGGGGGGCTGAGCACAAGGGCGAGTCTGCCGGGGCAACTTCAAGCCTCAGTGCTGCATGTGGCCCGCACGTGGCAGTCGCAGCGGCACGCTGCAGGCATGAGCAGAATTTGATTATGTCTGGCAGGCTGGTACTGACTGTGTTCATCAAGGTCTTGTCGCAGCCAGCAAGGCTCTGTTTGGCTCCCAGCCGCTCATGCCTTGCGAACTGGAAGGCTGTGCAGAGCCCAGGGAACGCAATTGGAGAGGACGTGTGCCACAGGCGGCTCTGCCCGGGCTCTCACCCGGCGTGTGCTGAGTCAATGCCGTGGAGGCTGTGCAGTTGGGCCGGGTGAAGCGCTGAGAGTTCTGCGAGACGTACCATTTAGAAAGCGCGACGAATGCCTCAGCCGATCGCTAGGGCCGTCGCCGCTTGGCCCTTTTGCTCAGCCGCTCTGCCGATCGCCTTTTCGCCGCGCCGCTTTGCCCTCAAGGATCGCTGCCGCGGCCCGGAGTCCAGCGCGGAGACTTGCCACGGAAGACAGACGCGATGTCATCGCCTGCGACCGCAGCCCTGATCCCGACTTGCAGTTTAATTGCGCTAAACCTTCACAAAGCCTCGAGGCCCGAAATGAAAGCGGCCGCCTTTTTCGGAGGTTTTCTTCTACAGTCGCGAAAAATCTGAGCTTCTTCACTTTGTCTCGCCCAGCGTCTGGATGTTTGTTGTTTGGAGGGTTCACGCTTGTTGAAGGTGGTTCTTGAATTTCTTCGTGTCAGATTCTTCGATACACGTGCGTGGGGACTTCTCTTGAAGTGGCCGCGATCCAGTGTGCTGGCGTGCTGTAGTGACTGTGATGCTCTTCAGATCATATGTAGCAGTGAATCGGCTCGAACAACGGCGCATGCACGCGACGAACGCTCGGAGGCCAGGCCCCATTCTATGTGTGGACATCGTGCTAGACATCCAGCAGCTCGTCCTATTTTGAATTTACTTTAAGCTTCGACTCCGCCTCTTCCCCCGCTCTTTGCGCTCATGCAGTGCGCGCCCGCTCCGACTCAGCCTCTTCCCGCTCTCTTTGCTCTGAGGCCTGCAGTGGCTACGCATGCTGCCTGCAACCCGCACCGCAAGCTCGTCAGCTTTTGGCGGGCGCATGTCAGCGCGTTAAACGCTTAATCCCAGAAGCGCCCTAAAACGCAGAAACCCAGTAAACCTGAACACATAACCCAAAAACTGCGTTTCGGGAAGAACATCGAAAAACAGCAGCCCGACACACCTAGACACAGAAGCGCCCAGAAACAGAAACCTAGAAGCCCTAAACACTTAGATCCAGAAATATCACCAACCCAGAAACGCAGAAACCCAGAAACTTTAAACGCCTGAACCCAGAAGCCGCAAACCCGGAACTCCGAAACTCAGCCTGCAGTACTCTTGGATTCGTGCTTCTCTACCTCCATAAAGGGTTGCCAGGGCTTCGTAAAAATGCGAGCTGAAACGAACGGAACTGCCGGAACCGACAGGGCAGAGACACCGACCCCAAGCCGACAACCCAAGACGAGACCTGCGAAGCAAAACAGTTCCACCTCAACCCAAACCCGACTCAGCCCGAGTCGCATCGATAAGAAAAAAATCCGTGCGCAAAACGAAAATTAGGTAATTAGGCTTTCCAGGTTCCTCCCAGGTTCTTAAAGGACATTTGGGAGGCGACATTATGCAGGGTCGGCGGCGACGGATGACCTCGGAAGTGGGCCCCCGCACTCAAAACAGCTCAATTGGACCGCAGCAAGATCCGAACTGAAACCAGCACCACACAACCACAGCCCAACCGCCACAAGGAACCGGGGTGTATCCGATCCGAAACCGGTTTGGAACCGAAAAGAACAACGAACCCGAGACTTTCCAGAGCTGAGCGGAGACCACAGCGGAACCGAAGCGGACAGAAGCAGAACCAGAGACGATAACTGGGACCGGGGAGGAGCCAGGCCGGCAGGGGACTAGCACGCAAAAGCGCACGGGCCAGAACGGGAACAGGAACTGAAACGTACTGAAGCAATGCCGAGCCACAACGGCCCCAACAGAGACCTGATCATAGGCCAAGGCGTGAAGGTCTAAAATGACCTGTTGCATGACCCTAGGGTTTGGATATTAGACCCAGGGTTTGGGGTCTAATATCCGACCCGGGGTAGACCCAACAGTACCTGAGGGTATCTTCCGGGTAGATGCGTGGCCCCACGTGTCTTGTGATGTCTTGTGGGAAGACCATGTCTTCTCACAGAGCTGGATTGGCAGTCTTCGGGTTGCCGATGGTTCACCCGCCTGTGCCGGTGCGGTGCAACGCCTCGGAGCCCGAACACGACGGCATGCTCAAACGCCTTCGAGTTCACAGTGGATGCCGGCGAAGTTTCGGTGTTGGGACCGTCGCAGTTCAGGACCTGTGCCTTGGAAGGTCTGCTCGGCACCGGACTTGACGAAGACGATCGGGTGCTGGTTATGGACACCTGCGGCAGTCCCAACGTGGTGCCCCTGTTTCCCTCGGCAGGTCTTTCTCAGGAAGTTGGCAGCAGTGGGGCTTACGTTTCCTGGGGGAATGCTGTCATCACTTCGAAGGGTGGAGCATATAGACTGTGCTGGTGTAGTCGAGACTTGAACACCAGCTATTCGGAAAATGCGTCTGACCCAGAGTGCAGCGTGCCAACTGCATTTGGAGTCGACTTCGGCACGCCTGTGCTCCGTGGACCTGCAGAGCTTGCAAAGCCACTTTACTGCATTCTGGGTGACGATTGCGTCATGCAGCCTGTTTCTGGCATGTACACCAGCGCTTTGGATTGGGTTCGTGTGCTGGACACATGCGGCATTCCTGCACAGCAACCTGCATACCAAGCGGCCATCTCGCCGAGTGATGGCATGAAGCAAGTCTTTGGAGCCGAGAGCCATTCAAGCGTGATAGTTCCAGCAGCGGGCATTCCTGCTGCCGGCGGCCAGTACCGCCTCTGTTGGTGTGGTCATGAGTCGAACTGCCTAGCTGCTGCCAGCTATCGGGTGGACTTCGGCAGCATATCATTGGCTGGGCCGTTGCAGGGACAATTTCGGACATGCGTCAGTGGTCATTCTTGTGTAGTCAGTTCCATTCTCGGATACGACCTTTCGAATGAGACTAGTTTCCTTGTCATGGACACTTGCGGTCAGTCTGGCGCTGTCCAGGGCGCATTCAGCAATCCTGCAGTTTTGTCGTCAGGAGCAGCCGTGCAATGATCGGCTGAGCCAGTAACAGGAGCTGCCATGAACTCGAGGAACGCCACACAAGGTCGATGTGATTCTAGCTTGAGCTTCAAAGTTAATTTCGGCGGGTTGATCATGCGGGGCCCATCGCCACTGTCGCAGACCTTTACATGCATTGCAGGGCACCCGTGTCGCTTCGACGGAGTCAGGGGTCAAGATCTGTCCTTTGCCGACCAGTACTTGATGCTGGACACTTGCAGTCGCAGTAGGCTCGCCTCGGATGCCCTCGATGCTCGCATGACATTTTCTGAGCAGCCTCTCAGTTCGTCACTCCAAAGTGATGGAGTGGTGTTAGTTCCCGGTGGTCAGTACCGACTATGTTGGTGTGGAGGGGCCGGCACTGCGAACTCGTCGCACCATCTGTCTTGCAGCCTGCCGACCGACTACCTTGTGGACTTTGCAAGTATTTCCGTGATTGGACCCTCTTCCTTTGATCAGGACAAAACGTGCATTGCTGGAATGAGTTGTGCGGTTCGAAACATAGAGGGCTACTTTACATCCAGCGGGTGGCCGCCACGTGTGGCCAGAGTGAAGGGTTGATCCGCGGATTTTCCAGGTCTGGACTCATGCTGCCAGATGCACCGGTCAATTCGACTTTCCGTTGGCTCTTGACATCCACATCTGCGCAAGGGGGCCAATATCGTCTGTGCTCGTGTGCTGATGGCCAGGTGTGTTCAACCATGGAGCACTTCACAGTTGATGTGGGTGCCTTCTCTCTTCTGGGGCCTATGCCGATCCAGCAAGCATTCACGTGCGTGGCTGGCCGTGAGTGTAACATCGACCCCATCACGGGCTTTCACTTGGACGAGAACAGGCTGGTTGTGTTGGAGACCTGTGGCTCGGAGAGAGGTGTTCTGCGCATCCCCAACAGTGGCTTGGCCCTGGCTTCTGGCGGTGCAGCCACCTGGGGTCCTTTGCCTCTGACCGCTGCAGGGGGGCAGTACCGCCTGTGCTGGTGCGCAGACCTCGTCATGAAGCCGATCAACGAGTCAAACCACACTTCAAGAGGCTGCGGCATCTTTTCAGACTATACTTACGACATCGGCAGCCTCAGCATACTTGGGCCCATGCCACTTGTGCAGAGCCGGACATGTGTTAGTGGCCACAACTGCCAGCTTGATGGCTTCACTGGGCACGGCCTCAGCAACCTGGACAAACTTCTGGTGAACCCACCGCCATGGTGCCAAGATGGAGCTTGGCCGGTGGCAGTGTCGAGACGACCAGCAATGGCACAGCTGTCTCATGGCAAGCCATCGTGAGTGCTGCTGGTGGACAGTACCGCTTGTGCTGGTGTGCGGCCATGCCCGTCAATGAAACACTCGCAGGCGCCAGTTTTGCACACATCATGCTGGCGATTTTGCCGTGGACATGGGTGCCATGTGGCTCCTTGGTCGGTTGCAAGACCGGACGTGCATCAGCGGGCAGACTTGCTCATCAAGCGGCATGGTGGCTACGACAGGGGGTGGCGTGTTTGTATCTGGTCGAATCCACGTGCTTGACACATGTGGACTGGTGGGATTCTTGGAAAGGTTTCCCGCGGGTGGACTCAGTGGTGAGGTGCGGCATGTGAAAGGCATCGTGACCGCACCCCTTGCTGGAGATCTGCTAGACGTTCGTGGCATGTCCGTTGTAAGCTGGACCGCTGAAGCCTTGACAGTTTCAGCAGGCCAGTATCGTCTGTGCTGGTGTGCCCTCCTTCCGGGTCCAACGAACATCTCGAGCTGCATCTTGACATCCGAATTCAGCGTTGACTTCGGAGCGCTAGACTTGTACGGCCCACTCCCCGGCCATCGCCGCACATGTGTCTGCGGATACACCTGCTCATTCGGCGGTATTGCCGGCTATGGCCTGAGCCAGAACGACACAATCCTTGTGATGGAGACTTGTGGCTCCAGTGATAGCCCGCTTTCCTTGGAGTGGCTTTGTTCACCAGATCTCTGCAAGTGGGTCTCGCATGAGCTGGGGGGAGACAGCTATCGCCTCTGCTGGTGTAGTCAGAGTGGTTCGTGCAGGAGACCCGAGAGTTTCCCTTTCGACTTTGGTGAACTCCTGCTGGTTGGGCCTGTGCAGGTGGATCACACCTGTGTCGCCGGTCAGACCTGTTATCTTGACGGCCTGCCCCGTACCTGGTCCGAGGTCAACTCGTACATGATTTTGGAGACCTGCGGCATAGCCGATACGCTTCTAAGTGTCATCACTGCAAGTCCTGTTCTGTCGGCACAGGGCCAAGCGAACTGGGGCGGAAGCCCTCTGACCTCAGCTGACCTTCGGGCTGGCATCTACCAGCTGTGCTGGTGTGCTCCACTGCCTCCTTTACCCTCTGCAAATTCTACCCATTCGAATCGCTCCGAGGGTAATATGACAGGCCCGTGTCGCTTGTCTTTGCAGCACCAGGTTACCGTTGGCACGCTGATGATGATTGGTGCCAGCGGAGAGCAGCAAAGAACCTGTGTGAGTGGGTTAACTTGCGTGATTGATAGCATTGAGGGTTACCATCTATCAATGTATGACAAGGTGCTTATCATGGAAACCTGCGGCACTCAAGTACCGACTGGCTTTTCTTGGACAGCACAAGCCAGCAATGGGGTGCCGTCCAGATCACACCGCAAGGAGTCTCCTATCGCTTGTGCTGGTGTGGGTGCATCCGTGGCTTGTAGCCAGGTACGGAAGTTTAGGGCGGACCTTGGACCTGCGCCCTTCACGCAGCATCAGACGTGTGTCGGGGCACCTCTGCCGCCCCTCCGCTGGCATCGAGCATGCGAACAGCAGTGACAGCGTTGGGCTGCGCTACGAGGTGTTGGCAATGGACACTTGCGGTGGAGTCTCCGTTCCTGGAGGCTTTCCGCTGCAGTGGAGCAGTAACAGCAGCTGGAATGCAACAGCTGGCAGTCTCCTGAGTGCATCGATGCAGGAGCTCACAACAGCTCCTGGCGGCACATATCGCCTTTGCTGGTGCGGCATACCTGAAACCGCCTCAGGCTGTAGATTGCCGGCAGACTTCCGGCCCATGTCGGAGAGTTGACTCTGATTGGTCCTCGGCCTAGCTCCCACACATGCATCAGCGGTCGCCTTTGCAGTCTCGAAGACCTGCAGGGTTTGCACCTCAGTGGCTCCAATATGTACATGGTCTTGGACACATATGGTGAAGCTGTGTGGGCTTGGCCCGAGGGTTATGCTGGATTGGTCCAACCTGGCATCGCAATCCCGGAGGAGACCGCCACATTGGCTGGGCAGTACCAGCTTTGTTGTTGTGCCAGTTTGGACGTCGTGCATGCGAACGGGACTGAGAATCCCAACGCGAGCTTCCCATGCCGACGAGCAGAGGACTGCGCCTCTTCCTCTGGCACGTTCCCCATCCTTGGTCCCGCCCCCAATTGCACCAGCAGCGAACATGCATAAGCGGACAAACTTGTGTCCTTGACGGCCTGACTTTCGATTTGCTGGCTGTGCAAGACACCTGCATCAGTTCAAGATTTCCTGCAGCAGCCAGGCCTCACTGCGCGAGTTGCTTGGGAGGATACGAAGCCATCGTCTGCTGGAGGTCAATATTATATCGGCTTTGCTGGACTCGACTTGACGCGAACTCCAGCAATTCTTCCATGCCTGCAGTCTCCTTCAAAGTTGACATTGGTGAGTTACTCTTGCTCGGTCCGTCTCCTTTGGAGCAGTCCGCCACTTGCGTAAGCGGTCAGAGCTGCGTTCTGGATGTGCTCATCGGGTATGGCTTGGATTCGGGCGTGTATCTTCTGCTCACTGGCACATGCGGAGTTCAGGCGGAAGACAGGCTCAGACTCCCGAGTGAGGGGCTAATCTTGGGGTGCGAACGAGACCACAGTCTCCTGGGCCCAAGCTTTCACTGCTGCTGGGCAGTCCTACAAGCTTTGTTGGTGCGCCGTGGGACTTCCTTGCCGTGCGGAGCACTTCATCGACGTTGGGGTCCTGAGCCTTATTGGACCTGCGCCCCTCAGCCAGGGCCGGACCTGCATCTCTGGGAGCTCCTGCAGCTTCGCCTTGGACTTGGAGCCGCTCGGCTGGCGTAGTTCGCGTAGCTCTGGAGCCAGAGCCAGAGCCAGAGCTCCTGATCTGCGGTGTCGCTAAGCGGCGCAGTTCCTGGGGCCCTTGGGCTCCGCAGCCTGGCCCTGGTGCAAGCGCAAGCGCCCAAGATGCGCCGCGCGGTGAGATCTCCGAGTTCTTCCGGGTGGATCTGGGCAGGTTCCTCGTGCTGGGTCCAAGCCTCATCAGGCGCCTCGGACTCTGACCGCCTGCTGCTAGCAGAAACTTGCGGAGCGATCCGGAGCAAGAGAAGGCAGCCTTTTGCCATGATACCAGAGGTCCACAGATCCGCCCCAGGCGTCCTGTCCATCAGCTGGGGCACCGCAGCCCTTGTGCAGTCGGGTGGTGAGTACCAACTTTGCTGGTCAGCGATGCATCCCGTTTCGTCTCCACAGCGGGCAGCCTGTACTTGCGAGGCCCTGCACCCCTGCAGCAGCAGTTCACATGCCTTGCAGGTCAAAGATGCTCCTTGGAGAATTTGTCCGGCTATGGCATGTCTGACGCTGGAGTCTTGCTTGTCATGGATACTTGTGGAATCGCTTCCACGACGTTGCAGTTTGCACCGGGCGAGCCGGAGGGCCTTCTCAGTGACTATGTCCTTCTCACAGATGGAAGCTATCGGCTCTGTTGGTGTGCGCTTCTTGGGAGCTCTAATAGCTCTGGTTGTGACTTGCCTGCGTCTTTCTTGACTGATGCTGGCACTATGCACATTATTGGTCCAGACCATTGAGCAACAGTACACCTGCGTCAGTGGCCAGACCTGCACACTGTAGGGTCTTCAGGGTTCCGCCCTGCAGCAAAGTGATTCCGTCGCAGTTCTGGACACATGTGGAAGCCTTGATGCGTGGCCGCTGAATCTTGTTAAGGTGTTGGACTTGCAGCCCCACAGCTTGACTGTCAGCTGGCGGGAAGATGCCCTCTCCACACCGGGGGGGCAATACAGACTCTGCTGGTGTGCCACCGGTGCACGGTGCCAAGATGCAAGCTCTCTGCGAGTAGATTTCATGAGCCAGCTGGAGCACATGGAAATCGAGGGCGAGCGAGTGACTTGGGGCAACCTGCAGTTCAGCGCGGCTGGCGGAGCTTTTCGTCTGTGTTGGTGCGCAGGCAACAGCACATGCCTCGTACCCGAGGACTTTCGGCTGGACATCGGCCAGCTCCTGTTGATTGGTCCAAGCTTTGGGCACATGCAGTCCTGTATCTCGGGGCAGGCTTGTTCCATATCTCGTGTCAAAGGGTGGCAACTGTCCGAGTCCGACAGGATCATGGTTCTGGACACGTGCGCGCAACCTGGAAACGCGACACAGATTCCTTCGGCTATTGTAGGCTTTGCAGCCGATGGTATGAGTTTGTCTGTCTGCTGTCCAAGAACTCAATCTGACGGATGAACTGCGCGGCTCCACTTACGGTCCACTGATGAACTTTGAACTGGCTGGATACATCAGTGCGCAGGGTGCCAGGTATCGGCTCTGCTGGTGTGGAGCACAGGCGGCCTGCTCTTCATCCGAGGACTTTTACGTGGACTTCGGGGAGCTCCAACTCCTGGGACCTTCGCTTGGGCAGAGCCAGACTTGCGTCAGTGGACAAGCGTGCTTCCTCAAGAATCTCCTTGGTCACCACGTGCCAGACGGTGAAGGGGCAATTTTCGACACTTGCGGCGTCCGCGGTGTGGCATTGGAGGGTGCCGGCCTCAGCAAGTCAGTTGTAGGTCCTAGGTCCTAGATGATGCCCTGCCAAGCCTTGTGGTATCTTCGCTCCGCAGTGCAGACTGATTGCCAAGGTGTACACATCTCGCAAGCTCTTGCTTCAGCACCAGCACATGGTTCTGGCGTCTTGCTGTCAACATTGACTGCCAGCGGAGGTGCCATCACTGATGTGTCATGCGCATCCAGCAGTTCGAACCTGTCCCTTTCACCAGCAGGAAACTACTGGCTGTGTTGGTGCACAGGCTGGGGGTGCCGGCTTGTGCTTGCTTTCTCATGCGGAGCCTCCGATCTGCGAGGGGATATCTGCTCCATGAGTTCATTGGCCCGGCCCTCAGTGTTCATCTATTCCTGAGTTCTCTGCGGCAAGAAGAAACGTCAATCTCTTGGCAGGCATCGGCCGCTTCACGTTGCAGGGCCCGGCACCGCTCCAGCAAGACCGAACTTGCATCGCGAGTCAAGAATGCGAAGTGGATGCCTTGACAGGCCCGCCCGGCCAGTTTGGGCCGTTTCGTTGAAAGGAACTTAGCTTCATGATGTGTATCTGGACACCTGTTTCGCCCTCAGTAGCAAACAGCACAGTGGCTGGATGGTGTTGTGACTTTGCATGTGATCAAGGTGGCCGCAGCTTGGTGCTCTTTTTGGATCCTGTCAATGAGGTGGGCTCAGCAAGATGTCAAGTGCAGCTTGGGGGAGCAGCCACAGCAGAGTGAAGAACCTGCTGTGCCTGAAAGGTTACGAACGCATCAGATGGCGGAGTAGTTTTTGCTCCAGACGGTGCACGAATGAGTTATACAGCTGCAAAGTTTGTGCGCGACACATCGTGCAGCTGACGTTGAGCAGTCTGCAGCAAAGGCTCTTTTGGAGAGCTTGTCTTTGCTGAAGGGGGGTTGCTTAGCTGCAGAAGGTAGAGTCTGCCACAGTGCAAGGCTTCGCCAGACCCTGGCAGGCCTTGCAGTCCGAGGCAGTACCGATTGTGTTGGTGTGGGCACGCTCCCCAAGTTTCAACAGCTCCTCGGCAGAGCATGCTTTACAGTCCATGGCAGCACTTCAGATGCGTTGCTCGAGGCACAAGCAGCTGGAGCAATCGAAGCAACGAAAGCCTGGGCACCCAAGCGTCTCTTGGTCTCGGAGCCTGCGCACTTTCCCACGAGCCTCTCGGACCTGTGTTGTGGGGATGAATTTCGGGTTTACTCTTCTAGATTTGACCCGTCAATCCCCCTGTCTGTCTCAGCCCCGGTGGTTGGGGAGTGTCCTGAACGGCTTCAACTAATCCCAGTCGCCGCAAACTGCGAGTTGGAGAACCAAGCCAAGCGTCGCGAATGACCCGCCGTGCAAGCCAGGCGGCCGGCCTGAACCCAAACCGCCGAAGCGCCTCAAGGGTAAAGAGGACACCCCGCTCGAACTACTGAATGCTCTGCAAACCCGGATTCAGGAAGCTGCAGGAGCCGGTTCGTAAGTTGTCCACCAACCTCTTTAAAAATGGGTTCATTGGTCCGGCAAACTATTGCCTCGCGTCTGTTTGCCAAAGCCTGCCGCAAGCCAGGTCTCGTGAGATTTGGATCTGCAAAAATCTTCAGGTTTCATCGGTCATGCCGTTGGTTGCGTACGTGCGAGTCATCTTCGCAAAGCCGAGTCCTGAACATGAAAAGGGGAAGTGGCTCATCAGACTGCGCGGTGGACCATGCTTTTGATAGATCCGACGTACTAGGCCACGTTCGATCGTCGGCAATTGCGAGAACGCATCGAGAACAAAGGGAAACCTGCAAGGAGCCCTGGAAGTCTCCTTGCTCGTGCCGCATGCAGAACCGGAGCCTGAAGACAAAAATGATCAGACATGGCAACTAGGACTACACACCGTAAGAACTCCTGGCTAGGATGTTCCACTTTCAGTGCGACAAAATCGCCTGCCACAAAGTGCTCTCGTTCAAAGTTGCTGTGCAGGCAGCATATCACACAATGTGTAAGCTGTTCTTGATCAGCAAGCACTGCGAGACGTGACTGACGGAGCTCGATCGATTCTGTGGTGGATCGCCATGTGGCAGTCAGCACTGCACTTGCAGTCACTGCCGAATTCAAGCGTCGGAAAGCCGAGTGTGGGCTTGACTCGATCAGAGCAGCATAATTGGTTCAGGTCCCAACATCTTGGAGACGTCCGAGCAATTTCCTCCGTGCTCAATGCTTCAATTGCCGGTGCGTCCGGTCGTTGAAGTTTGATTCGCATTTCAGCGAAAAGTTCTGTTTCTTTGAGTCATAGTGTCTTCGTCTTCATGCATGCGCTCTTCAGCGTGACTCCAAACCATGTCTCGTGCACCGAGCCAGTAGCGAAAAACAAAAAGCACGCTGCTACCTGCCCAATGGTTGCTGGAGTAAGTCTGGGGTCCATTCGGAGTGGCTGCGACACTAAGGTATCGTGTGGACGTTGGTTCCATGCTGGTTGTGGGTCCAAGCCCCCTTGAACAAGACAGGACTTGTATTGCAGGTAGAACTTGCAACGCAGAGCGGATTCGTGGGCAGAGCCTCAGTGCCTCTGACAGACTTCAGATTCTCGCGACTTGTGGTGGGACGGTGCCACTGCGCTTTCCGATGAACGGACTCATTCTACACCTCAATGCGTCTCAGCCACCCAGTGGTATGGGACTTGGATCCGAGATCGTCTCCGCACCGGGCGGCCTGTACAGGCTGTGCTGGTGCAGTGGCTTGACGCCGTCTGGCTGCTTGCGTGGCACGGATTTCCAAACTGATCTGGGTGCCATGGCCATACTGGGGTCAGTCCCCTCCAGCAAGACCGAACGTTCATCAGCGGCAGAGTATGGGCTGTGGATTCTCTGCTGGGGCTTGAGTGAGTCTGACTGCTACATGATCTTGGACACCTGTGGTCAAGCTGTCACAACCGTCGGCATTGGTAAGGCAAGCTTCAGCTCACATCCGAGGATCAGCTGGGCGGATTCATTGACGGCAGCTGGTGGCGAGTACCGATTGTGTTGGTGTTCTGGACTGCCGTCACCGTCGACGGATGACTTCAACACATCCAAGACGTCCAGCATGACCGGAAACGTGTCCGTATGTTCGGTATCCTGGGACTTTGGCATCGATGCCGGCAAGCTTCTCTTGCTGGGGCCGGCACCTCTTTTCCACCGCAGCACGTGTGCGGCAGGCCAGACATGCGCCATCAATGTCGCTGGGACGGGACTATCATCTGCAGATCTGCTGTTGGTGCAAGATACCTGTGGTCAGCTGTTTGCATCGACTCCTTTCGCAAGCCCAAGCAGCTTGCGCCTGTCATCGTACAACAGCAGCAACATCAACGCCTCGTTTTTGGCCGCTCAGCTGTTAAGAGCATGATGTGCAGAGACACGGATCTGAATCGTCAGCTGGAAAAGCTAAGGATGCAACTCGATCAGCAACTGCTTATCTGGGCCGAAGTGTCACGGCCGGGGAATATCGCCAATGCTGGTGCCAGCGCATGTCAAACATGTCGGACTGTCGTGTCGATCATTCTGACGTCGACTTCGGGGTGCTGCAGATCTTCGGCCCAACCCTGCAGCAGGACCGTACATGCGTAAGTTCGATGGCCTGCCAGATAAGCGGGATCGAGGGCACCGGTTTGGGCAGCGGTGATTGTTTGATGTTATTGGAGACTTGCTCTTCCGGAGCCATGCTGGATGCTCTTCCGGCAGTGCCCTCGTCAACTCTCTCAGGCTCGAGCTTCGACTGGACTGCCAACTTGACAGAGATTCTCATGAGCTCACCAGGTGGCTTGTACAGGCTCTGCTGGTGTATGCGCGGATATCCGTGTGATCTGATCGAGCATTTCGTCGTCTACATGGGTGCTCTGCATGTGATCGGTCCGGCCCCGTTGACACAGCATCGAACGTGCTATAGCGGACAGTCATGCCTCCTGGATGGATCGGTAGCACGGATGTGGCCAAGATCTTGGATCCGCTCTCATCATGCTGCCTTCTGGACATGCTATCTCATCCAGTAGCGACACGTCTGGCAGAGCGGATCTCACCGGCCAAGTCCGTTTCGCTGCGGGCGGCCTGTACCGGCTGTGCTGGTGTGGCGAGCTGCTGCAGGATGCAAATGCCTCAGGTCTACTGGGCAATGGTAGCCATCAGTGCAGATCGGAGTGGACATGGGTGCCCTGACGATGCTGGGCCCGGCACCTCTGCAGCAAGACCGAACTTGCCTAGCGGGCGGAAGCTGCCTCCTTGAGGGCTTCCTGGGAACCAGCATGGATGCAGGTTCCTTGCTGCTCCTATATAGACACCTGTGGGGTCGCTGCTTCGGCGGACTTCGGAGCACCAGGACGCCCGGGCCAGCCCAGGGGCCCTACCGTGGCAGCTCTGCTAGCGTCGGGTGCCGCTTTTCGCTGGGAGGCAGAAGTTCCCCTTCTGGAGGAAGCTTCCGACTCTGTTGGTGTGTTGAGAAGCTGCCCCAAAACTTGACCAACTACACGAGCTGTGCCATTTCATCCGACTTCACTGTGGACAGGGGGATGTTGCACGTCATGGGTCCTCTTGCAGGGGACACGCAGCAGCAATTCACATGCGTCGGCGGCCAGCGCTGCACTTTAAGTCCTATCAGGGGCTTGCATCTGCTGTCCGGAGATCGGGTCTTGGTCATGGACACCTGTGGCGTTCAGGAGATGCCGGCCAATGTATCCGGTACTTTCGGCGTCGGTGGTCTTCGTAATTCTGTGCTGGTGTGGGATGTTGAGGCGGCTCCCCTTCCCGGTGGGCAATATCGACTGTGTTGGTGTAGGAGCCAAAGCATGTCCACATCAAATCACACTTCCAAAATACCTGCGGATTGCAAAACGGATGCTGGTGGACTCAGTATATTATCCCCCGCATTGCATCAGCATCGAACGTGTGTCAGTGGACAAACTTGCTCCCTGGACGGAATCACTGGTTACTCCTTGTCCCCGAACGATGCAATCATGGCCTCGACACATGCGGAGCTCCCTCGGGTGTCATCAATATGCTGGCGACAGCAGCCGTTGTCTCACACAGTGGTGCTGCAGCTAGATGGGATGCAGCTGTGGTAACCGCGGCTGGTGGCATCTACCGACTGTGTTGGTGCGCCGGCCTGCGCGTTGAGGAAGGCTTTACCAACTCTTCGTCATGCCGAACTCCGGTGGGCTTCACCGCGGACTTTGGGGACCTGCATCTTATTGGGCCTAATCCGTTGGACGCCACTCGCACCTGCATTTCTGGACCATGTGTGACAGCGGCTTTGGAAGGCTTTCACCTGTCCGTTCACGACCGCTTCGTGATTCTGGACACCTGCGGTCAAAGGCTTGCCGTGGTTGCAGGCGCAGGCCTGGCGTTCTTGCAGGGTCAGCATGTGCAAGGCACCTTTGTTGGCATGGCCTGTTGATCCATCTCTTTGACCCTCCGCACATTTCCCGCTATTCTGTGCCAGCAAGCACCTCTCGCTCTCTGTCGCTTGTTGCTCTCCGTTCATCTGAAGCGCTCGCGCTTAGCTCGTGCTTTCTCTCTGGACCTTCTTGCTCGAACGTTCGCCCAGCCTATCAGTTTCACTCCAATGAGCACGCTAAGCCGCTTGTAGGCTTCATTTGCGACTCTGTCTCGAGACACCGAGAGTTTACAGTAAGCTCGGACGTGTTCTGTGAGCTGGCAGCATTCTGACAGGCTTTGGAGCGCCACTTGGAGGTCAGGCAAGCAATGGCTGGCTGGTGGGACTATCGAGTGGGACACGCTCGTCTCCGGCCCCTTGGCCGGCTTCATTTGTTCTAGCTGGATAGTGTAGTTGCTATTGGTACGCTGCAATAGTCTCGGTCTGTCGATGCTCCGTTGATTGCGGTGTCCAGGTGATGTGATGGGAGGCCAATACCGAACCTGCATCAGCGGGCAAGCATGTGCAATTCTCGGCGGCTTGACGGGTGCCGGGGCCTATCATTTGACTCCCGGCGATCAACTTCTTTTGCTCGACACATGTGGAGCTTCGGGAGCCTTGCTTCAGCGGTCAGAGTCGCAGGCCAGCCTTGCAGGCTCAGCCCTTTGCTTGGTCATTTCCCGGCTCTAGGAGACTACGTGGACCTGCGCAGTGGCGATGAGCCCAGGGCTTCGGGCATTGAGTCCAGGCGGCGTCAATGCATCGCAGTCCCCTTTAAGCGGGAAGAGCAGTCTGGTTGCCTGGGACCTGGTCGAAAATGCTTCGGAAGGCCGCGGCTCCAAGAAGGCGCTCTGTACCGTCTCTGCTGGTGCCTGGATGCACAAGGTTGCAGCCGTGTTGAGGACTACCGAACAGATGTTGGTGGCCTGTTGGTGGTTGGTCCAAGTCCACTGCTTCAGCTTCGAACTTGCATCAGTGGACACTCATGTGCTTTCGAGGGTGTGACGGGACTCGGTCTTTCTACATCTCCCGCATTCGGCTTTACCAGGACAGTGCGACATCCCACGACATTCGCCCGGAGAGAAAGGCTGCAGAGGATCCCAAGAAGAAGAAGAAGCAAAGGCAAAGTAGCCCGGAGAGAAAGGCTGCAGAGAATCCCAAGAAGAAGAAGAAGCAAAGGCAAAATAGCCTGGAGAGAAAGGTTGCAGAGGATCCCAAGAAGAAGATGCAAAGGCAAAATAGTCCGGAGAGAAAGGCTGCAGAGGATCCCAAGAAGAAGAAGAAGAAGCAAAGGCAAAGTAGCCCGGAGAGAAAGGCTGCAGAGGATCCCAAGAAGAAGAAGTAAAGGCAAAACAGCCCGGAGAGAAAGGCTGCAGAGGATCCCAAGAAGAAGAAG